GTATATAAACATTTCCACACCAATCAGATAATTCAAAAACCAGCACTCACCATACTCTAGGAGTTGGGTGTCCAGTTACATGGCAGGAAATATCCAGCGGGTCATTTACTATCACTGTCATGTGTTCAGTGCCATCACCAATCTGCACTTTGGGGGGAACTGGAAAAAAAAATATTATGACCCAGTTAAAGCAAAACTGCAGGCAAGCAACTAAATGAATACTTAAAACACATGTATGTTTACTGTTCTACTTGCTAAAGAATGTGTAACTCTATACAGATGATCCTGTGAATTACACACCTTTGCCACACTGCATGGACAGGAAGTGACACATTTATTTCCTAGTTAATCAATGGAGCTTCCAACACCCATCAGCCTAAAGCTTATCCATTTGACAAAGAATCAGCACCATCACTCCTGTCCAATGTTTAGAAGGAAGATTGAGGAAGCCTGGTCATGTAGTGTTGACATGCATACATAACAAGGCTGAATTCATTGAATATAATACCCTTTGGCAGGTAAAACTAAAAATGTAGTGTACTGCATTATGTGATCCATCTATATTTAGCTGTCTGCTTGGAGTTCCTCCAACAATCTTCATCTCTTCTTGAGCCAAAAGCTGCTTAGAACAGGTTTGTCAGACTGTCATTTACAAGCAAAGATTACAAAAAGCCCATGTGACCTGGTGTGCTTTCCTATATCTTACCAAGAACCTCCACAGAGTACTTCAGGGTGGTCTCCCCAGCCAAGCTGATTGCAACGCAAGTAAAGACACCCTGGGTGCTCTCAGCCACAGCAGCAATGTGCAGGGTCCGGCCACTATCCTTTATCTGCAGCCCATCTCTCTCTGATACCAGGAGCCCATCTTTAAGCCAGGAGAGAACCGGTGGAGGATGACCAGTCGCAGAGCACTCTAGGTCAAGAGGATGACCTACAATGGCTTTAATGGTCAACGGGTTTCCTCCAGCACCTTCAATGCCTGGAGAAACTAAATAGACACAAATAGATATAAGTTATGCATTATTGAGTGCATTACAATATACATAATACTAGATTTGTCTGAAAATGTACCTGAAGCAAAGATGGGAGACTTCATACACCTGCTGCCCATAAAAAGGCAGATCTATGCACA